TTTAGCATCTAATGCAACAGGCAATTAGATTCTGGATCAGATAAGGGGACATTTTCTTGCTCTTCTGCTATTTCAGGTCATGATGATTCTTTATGTGATTCTTCTATCTTGAAGAATATTGGTCAAGGAGATTCTGGTGTAGGAACTGGTCATACTTCCGATCCAGTGCCACCATTGCCTGCAATTTCATCGGTTTCACAGTATAACACTCCTCCCACTGCACCTAAGCCAGGTAGAGGACGAGGACGCAAGCCTCAAACTGGAAGTGAGCCACCACGGCGCAGGGGGAAGAGACAGGATTTGATCACCACAACTGTTACTGAGGGGTTAGGTGCTCAGGATCCAAGATCAATTGAACCCCCACAAAAGAGAACCAGGTTATCCGTTGGGAGGAAGCCCACTACAAGAAGCAGGCGTGAGAATGAAGCTCAACAAGTAGTTGTAGACCAGTCGGTTGTATCTCAAAGGACTCCAGATTTTTCTGGTGGACAAATCCCTAAAGATATGGTCCGTAGTGAAGTTGATCCACAGAACAATGCTATCAACAGAGATGCATCTCAATCCCATGCTATTCTGGTTCCTGGTCAGGTGGGTGATAATGTAAACCCGGATACTGCTACTGCTGAAAAGGTTCTCAATGATGCTCAGAGAAAGGCAGCTGTGGTCCAATCTGTTGCACCTCAAAGTTGCTCTGGTCCTCCTATTGAGCTGCAGATTAACATGGTCAACTCTGGCGATTCTCCTGCTCAGGTTGGTGTATCTGCTGAAGAGGAGGTTTATACTGCTAATGTGAATTTTGAAACTGCTATGACTAAAAAGGTTCTCCAGGAAGTGCTGGAACAAACAGCAATTGTCCAGTCAGAAGCATCTCAAATGACTCCAGATCCTAGTGCAAGGCCAATCCCTCAAGCTATGGTGCGTTCTGAAGTTAAGCTACATAGCAATGCTATCAAATCCGACGCATCACAATCCAGTGGTCATGTTGCAGAACGGGTAGATACTGTTAATATAAGCTGTGGAGCTGATCCAACTAAGGAGGTTCTCAGTGAGGATCAACAAATAATGGAAGTTCAGTCAGCTGCATCTCAGACGCCTTCAGTTCTCTCTGTTGGGAAACTCCTTGAAGATATATTGTGTAATGAAGTTCAGCCACAGTCTGATGCTATCCAAACAGATCCATCGCAATCCCATGTTACTCTTTCTTCTGCAGGGGTGGACAATCTCAAGGAAAAAGAAAATGCTATGACTAGAGAGGTCCCCTTGGTAACTCCCCTATCAGAGACCAAAGAAGAGGGATATTCGAGAAGTAAATATGACAGCCATCCAAATTTACCTGTATCTTCTTGTGATGAGTTGGCTGTATCAACTTCAGGATCAATGGCTCAGGTTAGTGATTGTCTGGTTGAGGAGAGTGAAGGTGATTCTAAGGGTGAAGGTGCTGAAAAGAGTGAAACTAATTCTAAAGGTGAAGATGGTAAGATTGAGGCTATGAATGACAAATGTGAGAGTGATGGCAAGAATGAAAATGATGAAAAGGAAGCTGGGAGACGCATGAAGGCTGGTGAATCACAGGCATCATCTCTATGTTATGTCGAACCTACATTAGTTCAAATCCATGTAAGCGATTGCACGAATGCTGCTCTACTCGATAAGGGGGATTCATGCAAAAATTCACTGGCAGGTAAGAGTGGGGCAAACATGGCTGCAGAAAAAGATGTTGACCAGCTACAGTCGGAGGATCTTTCTCATGATAAATCATTTGTTAGTAAAACTGAGGTAGCCAGCATTGAGAGTCGTGCTGGTGGTGGACTCGCAAAAGAACAGGAGACAGGAGACACCATAGAGGAGGAGACTGTTGTTTCACCTGCAGTGGGGGCTGACAGTCAAAATATGAAGGGAATCACATCATTTGCATCTCCATCTACCAAGACAGAATATGAAGAGATAACTAAAGATTTAAGTAGGGTGGAGGAAGAAAAATCTTCGACTCTAGAAACTTTTGAGAAGCAATCTAATGTTGCAGACTCCCTTGCAGAAAAATGTGAGAGCGATCTTGCAGCACAAGATCCAGATATGGAAGATTCAGATGTAAGTGAAGTTGCACCAAGCCCTAGAAATGAGTCCCGATCCAGTTTAACTGGTGGCACATCACAAAGGGAACCTGAACAACAAGCAATTGCTGAAGCAAACTTGCACCCAGGTATTTGTAGCAAGGACTATTCTTTATCTAGTTCGGATAATCAATCTGATAAGGAGTTTGAAAGACAAAAGCAAATTTATTCCAGTATACCTTGTGAATCTGATATGACACCTGTTGATAATTTTGTAGAGACTTTTCGAAACACAGAATCTGGTGCTCGGGAGGAATCCCTTTCACTTCGGATTGCTTCAAATCCTGAAGCTGTTGAGGCTCCAAAAGAAACGTTTTGCAGCAACCATGACACGAATTGTGTAGCTGAATTACAGGGTAACATGAGTTCTGATGTAAATGAAGATCTTTCTAATTCTGAAGCTAATGTGTCTCCACTATGTCCAGCTGTTGGGTCATCTGAAAATCGCCCAGAATTAAAACAGGTTATGGTGGAAGACATGCGAACTAAAATTTGTGAGGAGTCTGCTTCACATGAAGTTGATGATATTGTACCGCCTCAAACAGAAAAGGCTGGCGTTCAGTGCCGTGATGATTTGTCTGTTGAGACAAATGAGGGCAGAAGATCTGAAGATAATGTAGATGTTTTAAATGGTGAACTAAAAAAACCTCTATCCAGCACAATTGCTGGAACATCTGAAAAGGTAGCAGATCTGCAGTTAGTTGCTGAGGAAAACACAGTAAGGATAAATGATGGTTCAATAGATTCAGGTCAGGTGGCAGAAAAGTCCGAGGATATATCAATCCAAGATCTTACTATTGAAGGTCAAGAGACCAAGGGAAGTGATGCTGCTGAAGATACCTCAACATCAAATTCTACATTTGGTGAACCTCAACACAGTGCTGGCACATCTAAAAATGAAGTGGTATTTCAATTTTCTGCCTTAGAAAATATAGAAAAGATGTATAGCGAGTCAGTGGCATCGGGTGAGGTAACAGCTCCCAAACCTCTGATAAAAAAGTCTCAGAGTTTGCATGTCCAAGACCTGGTGGACAAAGGATTTGATGCCACTGGAGATGTTTCAAAATCTAAATCTGGACTAAATGAAGCTCAACCTGGTGGAACATCTCAAATAGGGGTAAAGTTACAGTTGGTTGCGGGAGAGAACTCAGAGACGAGGAATAAGGAGGATGGTTTACCTGATGCTACAGCTGTTAAGCCCCCACCGTGTAACTCTGAGAATTTGGGTATCCAAGATCCTGCACATCAAGAACCCGAGAACCAACGATCTGATACAACTGAAGAGTTTTCAACATTAAATGTTGAACTTAATGAATCTCAACCAGAAGCAGCAGATGGAACTTCTGAAATAGTGGTGGAGTCTAATTCGGTTTCCAAACAAGACATGGAAATTCCTGAGGAGATTGCTACCGTGGATGTTACAGCTGAGAATGCTGCAGTAGGGAAGTCTAAAATTTTACCCTTGATAGATGTTGCTGTTGAAGGAAAAGGGAATAAAGAATCTGATGTAATAGATGAGATTTCCAATTCTGAACTCAGTGAACCTAAATCCAGTCAATCCACAGTTAATGTGGAAACACATTTAATTTGTGATGAGTCGGGAATGACTGACAAGGAGGTGGCTCCACTTGAAGTTGAAGTAGTTGAAACTCCATGCAGAGATTTTCCTGGTTGTTCTGGCAGAGACTTGGAAGTTGAAGGACAAGAAGAAAAGAAGTCTACTGCAAGTAAAAATGTTTCTAACCCTGAGAGTAAAGAGCCTAAAGGCAGTCCAGGTGCTAGAGCCGCTGATAATGGGGCAGAATCACAATTGGTCGCTCAGAGGAACTCCGAGACAGCTCTGAGCAAGGAGGTCTTTTCAGGTATAGTGAGCTCAAATCTGAAGTTGCAGCACCGAATTCTGCTAGTAGCACTTTCAAATTCTTTCTCTTCCGTATTAATAGTTTCTCTTCCTGCTTCAGGCAAAGATGAGAACTCCAGTATCAAGCAAGGTGGAGATGAAGACGTGTCAACTGCAACAGAGTATGATGATGAAGAATTCTCATCTGCTACAGGGGCTGGTGATGATAAAACTGTGTCCACTGCAGTTACTGATGCTTGATCTGGCATTTCTCCTGTATTGCAGGTAATGTGTTGTTCTTGCTTTAACAATGTTTCAGAACTTGGATACTTTGACCATGTGTTCCTGTTTTTGTTTTATTATATACATTGTTATTCGATTGAGGGCAGATAGCTATTCTTTTTATTGCTGTTATTGATTACTACCTGCTTGGATTACTTATTATGTACAAATTACAAAAGGGCTGTATTAAATGTTCATAATATCCATTTACTATGTCCTTGCTTTACTAATTCTCACATATTGCAAATTCCTTACTATAAGTTCCTTTTCTTTATGGTTTACTGTATGGAAACAGTTTATAGGCTGAATCACCTCTTAGGCAGAATAATGTCATCTGTTTTCCAATCGTCATTCCTTTCTTGTCTCATTTGCCTTTGCTATGTAGGATTTCTATATTACCTCGAGGGTTCTGCTTTGCTTGTCTGTTTCTAATGCTTGGACTGTTTTACAAATCTTGCATCTGCAGCAGAAATAGTCATGCAAGTGGTTTTTACCAAGTTCAGAACAGCAATGGATAGTGCTTTAAAATGTTTTGTCATTGTTGGGATCTTATGCCACTAATTTCAGGCGGAGTGGAATTAAGTTCCTTAGGCTTTCTGCAGCTAATCTTTTCTTTAAAATGGTTTTTGCCTCTTTTTATCCCTCTGGGGATATCTGATAAAAATGTTTTACCTCCTTTGTTTTCGTGATCATTTACCCAGGAGTGCAGCAGTGACACATTTCCACTTTGCTCCATTTTGCGACTCTGATCACAACCATATGATTGGAAGTGGAGGTAGCACTAGGCTACCACTCCCCTGTCCCTTACGTCGTTTACCATTTTAAACCTTTGTCGAGCTCTTAGTTATTTCTATTTTGATTTATTTATTTATTTCGTATGTGTGCAGGCAGGCAGTAAAGGTGGATTTTTGCTTCTTATTTAAAATGCATATGAAAAGGTTACGTCTTGACAATCTTGGGAGGATAGGGATTGATATAAACTAGCAACAGTTCCTCGAGGATTTCCAGTTCTTCATGCGGATCTCCCGACGTAAGTTGTGGCAATTCTGTCATGATTATAACTCTTCCGTATTTTTTTCATCTACTTTTTCTTTTTGCTCAAGTCAGATAGAAAAGATTCCGGTGGGGTAAGCCTATTATTCTGGTTTCATGAACTTCCATCACTCCTACATACTGTGAGGACGGTTAGGGAGAGGGTTGCATAGTCTCTTTATCCGTTTGATGGAGGATTTTCATAAGATGTTTTCAATTGGGCAAGGTTTAGGGGTGGGCTTGTTTCTTGTTTAAAATGTGCATTCATCTTCGTTGTCAACGAGAAACTAAGTACCTTTTCGCTGTAACAGGTGATGGATGAACAGGACTGGCATTGCTGGAATCTGCATCTTCAAAGCGGATGATTCAGGTCAAAGGTTAAAGTTAAGATAGTATGTGAACTGGTAGTGTGTACTCCCTATTTGCTGTAAATTATATATGTAGTTATTAGCTCATTTCTCCCTCCCTCTTTCCCCGGGGTGTATGCGATATAACCTGGTCCAAAATCTCTGGCAGCTCGCAGCTGTATCAATATTATTTCGGCTATAGTCAGAAGCTCCTCTTTCTGGCCAAGTTTCTCTCTCTCACATGCCATTTACTTTAGGATTGCACCTGAATTATCCATAGTCGTCTGCTTACCTACTTATCAATTTGTTTTTCCGCTTTCTATGTCACGCTTCAACTTTCCGGTATTCCAAGAGTCTTTTTTCTAAATGGATTGAAAGAATATCTGCATACGAAAAACCTTCTTCCTCCTTTTAATTTGGATCACTAGTGTCTTTTAATTTTTTAAAATGATCGAGCCAAGTTTAGTTGGTTTTAGAATAACTATATTAAAATAAGGATTTGAAGTTGGAATTGTTGAAACAGTGGTTTTAAAGAAAAAGTTGTTTGGAGTTGTATTTCAAGTGAAGTTTATCCAATCTTCTATTTAAAAATAAATCTTCACTTTCCACTATATTTTTCCAAATATCATACACTTGTTTTCTCTTTTCAACTACCATAAAAAGGAAATACCCGAGTGAAATTTCATTTCTTGTTACAGCTTGTTTGGATGATTGTTATATATCATTTTATGATGTATGTATCATATTGTATTGCATCATTTTGATGTATATAATGTTTGGATAACTTGTATTGTTTGTCGTCATTTCATGATAGTCATGTAGCAACAATATGAAGAACTTACATATTATAAAGAAAAAGTAAGGTACGAGACACTATTATTATACGAAAAGGTAGGGTAAATGATAAAGTAGAATTATTTAATAATAAAAAGGATAGATGAGAGAGAAAAATAAGGTAACGGTGCGACCACACCAAATTGTTCGTTTGTGACACTTTTTGTCGTTACGTAGTGACGATTTAACGATACGATACAAAAAAATGTAAGGAACAATCAAAACAAATATTGTATTTAAAGTAATAATATGATACACACAACATGTAACAATCATCCAAGCAAGCTATGGGTATGAGTTCGCCACAACTCATTCAGTCAAAATACTCTGGATTGAAGTAATTAATAGGATTGTTGAATCATCAAAACTACTTCGATATATCTTTTCTGATGGTCGCTTGCTTAGTTTTAGTATACATGCTTAGAGCTCACTTCTTCACCTGTACGACTCTTACTAGTTGAATAGAGAAGGAATATATATATATATATATATATATATATATATATATATATATATATATATATATATATATATATATATGCAATGAGTTCTATTGCAATGGTACAAGATATAGGCTTAATAAATAATAGGAAGAGATACACAATAAAGTTGATATTTACGTGTGTTTAGCGACTTTAAGTGCATTTAGCGGCGATTTAAGTGTACTTAGCTGCGGTTTAAGTTTGTTTAATCGCGGTTTATGTATATTTAGCGGCAATTTACATGTATTTAGCGGAGGGGAGCCTACCAGTTACGCCATGTGACCAGGTCACGGGTTCGAACTGTGGAAACAGCCTCTTGCAGAAATGCAGGATAAGGCTGCTTACAACAGATCCTTGTGGACCGGCCCCCCCGGACCTCGCGCATAGCGGAAGCTTAGTGCGCCGGGCTCCCTTTAGTTTACATGTATTTAGCGCAGTTTAGCTGCAGTTTACATGTGTTTAATGGCAATAAACAAATAAATAAAACTGAAACAATAGCTTCGCAGTATTATTTATTGAACTAGTGAATTTTTCCGCGCTTCGCGCGATTTTAATTGGACTTAGATAATATCTTTTGAATTTACTTGAGATAAAATAGATAGTTTTATCTATAAGCATATATAAAATTGATTTATCACAAATAGTAATTTTTTTTTATCATCACGAACAATTTAGTTAATCTAACGCACGTTGTGTTATTGTAAACTACACTGTGTTAAAACAGAAATAATAAAACTATTAGAAGAAACAGAAAATTTGTAAACGATAAGAAATATTCTGAGTCCACTTCACAAAGCAAAATATTTTACTTTAATTATAGAATTAAGAAAATAACGTAAATGACTATTACGAATATCATAAGAGTACTAATTTCTTGAAACTTATTTTCAATTTGAGAAATCAAAGAGATAATTAATTAAGGAATACACCACAATTTTACATTAAACTATCTCATTGCATGTGAGAGATGCTTATTTGTTACTTGAGGTGAAAATAACACCAATTTATTCTCAACTGCTTCGCCCACTGCATCGACAAAGTTTTGCATAATTTGTTACACCTGCAACAAAACCTCATCTTTAACACAAGTTGGGTAAAATATTAATATTTCAGATGAATCCTAATCAAAAAATTATATTGATTAATAGTAATATGTAGAAAAAAAAAGTGGAGATAATAAAGTCTTTTTTTCTGAGATAGTGTCATCTAAACAATTGAAAGAAAAGATGGAAACAAAAAAGCACTTCTAAGAATATATCCACTTTTCTCACAATAGCTACATCAAAATGTTCTTTAAATTGGAAAATATGATCTCCCAATTCTGCAGATCTATCACAAAAGGAGAAAATACAAGTACATCATTTCTATGCGTAGAACCATTTTGGTTTACCAAAGAGTGCTCCTCTTATTAGGTTGATGAGAAATGTAATGGGAGTAATGGGAGTTTAATACAAAAGTAAATAAATAGTCAAAACTTCTCTTCGATGGAAGTTTGATTTTCCCAGAATGTATCTTAATTTTTGGCCTAATTCATAAATAGCAAAATGGGTGTGAATGATTAATGTAGTGTCGGTTACAACATATATTTAAGATGATGTACCATTTCAACTTCCATATAATTAAGAGGAGAAATTTTTTCAGTTACCATATTAATTGAGTGAAATTAATTTGTTCAAATGGCTGGAAAAAATAGAGTATTTGACAGGAAAAATAAGAAAAAAGACCAAAAAAACCAGGAAAAAAGACTAAATATGAAAGCTGCCCAAATAGGGATGCCACATCAGCTGGCCAATTCCCAGCTTTATATTTATATATATAGATGAAGGTTTTATCCATACTCGATGGAGGTGGATAATTAATTTTAAAAAAAAAAATACTCTTCATTGCTTAAAAAAAATTATTGAATGGAGGTTTTGGCAACTTTAAAGTTTATCAATAAGAGGAGAGTAGTAATAATAATAACAATAAACAAATAAACAAAATCAGTGATACATAAATAAGAATTGATAAATAACAGAAGCAGTACAATAATAATAATAATAATAATAATAATAATAATAATAATAATAATAATAATAGCAAAATATGAATACTGAAACTGATAAAACTATAATTTATGATGTGAAAAGAAAACAGTCAAATTAGAACATCTGAACGCATTTTGCAAACCTAAAGTAAACCATATTATCTTGCGTCGACGACTCGACGTCTTTATTGACCATGTAATCATTTTCTAAAGTTGGAACCTGAAATGATTAAAAAAATAATATGAAATTGGGATCAAACTGGCAAAAATAAAAATGTATATATATTATTAGAGAAGTTAGAGTTGTACCTAGGACTCAGAGAGATCAGAGATCAACAGATATATATGTTTGGAAATATTGGGACAATGCTTAGACAAGAAAGGTGTAAACAAGAAAAATATTATTTAATTAAGAAATAAACATAAAATAATTATGTAATAAATACATAGAGAGACACACACTTTCTAAATGATAGCTTCACACTGCCACCCTCGTGTATTCTAGGGAATGGGAAAGGATGTCCCATTGCTCCCAACCCTATGCCATATAAATTTGTCTTAATTATAAAATCTTTTTGAAACACAAATCCCAAAATATATCGCAAAAATAATAAAGAAAAATAGAGAGGAAGAAAGAAATGAGAAAGCGAAAAAGGTAGGGGATGAATATGACAGCCCGGTGCACTAAGCTCTTGTTATATGTGCGGGGTTCAGGAAAGGATCGGACCATGAGAGCCGATTTTATGCAGCCTTACCTTGCATTTCTGTAAGAGACTGTTTTCACGGCTCAAACTCGTGACCTCCTGGTCAATATCAGCAACTTTTCGTCATGTTGTTTATTTTTTATGAACGAAAATTTAATATATTTTTGTTAGAAGCCACCAAATTTAGCTGATTTTTATTTATTAAACGAAAAGAAAACAAAAACGAGGAGTGGTACAAGAATTTGACCTAACTTTAACTAATCTAGGATAAATTGAAATAATCATTTCTTTTACCAAAATATACTAGGCAGAAAATATTCTAGGACTAATTACATTGAATTCATATTAATGATGATACCAAAATAGTTGTTTCTTAGACTAAGTTATATATAAATATCTTATTTCCTTGCTTCAGTAGAGTCAAATTGAGAAAAATCAATATTTTCTATTAAGTAATAAGAATAAAAGGGAATTAATGATTGGGTGTACCAGCAGTTTAGCTTTAATTATGTCCTTAGGAGTACAGTTTAGACAAGTTTAATCATAATATGAGTTCAAATTGTAATGATGTTTGACCTATTACCGTCCAAGTGGACCTTTACTGTGACGACCCGACCCGTCGTCTCATGTATTACAGCCCCGTTTCCCCCATTTACTGCTTTTTCATGTTTCATTATCAGCAACGAGTGAGTTATAGTTGAATTGAATTGGTTTGGATAGGAAATGAGACACTTAGTCTCTTTAAGGAAGGCTTAAGTTGGAAAGGTCAACCGGACGTTGACTTATTAGTTAGAAGGCTCGGATGTGAATTCCGGTGATTCGGTTAGCTTCGGGAGGTGATTTGTGACTTAGGAGTGCGATCGGAAGTGATTTTGGAGGTCCAGAGTAGAATTAGGCTTGAATTGGCAAAGTTGGCATTTTGGCGAATTCCGGTGGATAGGTGAGATTTTGATCCGAGGGTCGGAATGGAATTCCGACAGTAGCTCCGTTAGGTGATTTTGGATATGTGTGCAAAATTTCAGGTCATTCGGAGGTGTTTTGGTCGGGTTTTTGATCCAATGCGTAATTCGGAAGTTTTTAAGAAACTTAGGCTTTGATTTGAGGATAATTGAGGATTTTGATGTTAACGATAGTGTTTTGATGGTTCGAGCGAGTTTGAATAAGGTAATAGATCATGTATGTGCTTTTGGTTGAGGTCCCGGGGGCCTCGGGGTGAATTCGGGT